GAGCTCATTAATTTCAACAGCTCTTGTACCGGGGAGAATTTAGCAGTCCACGTTTGATTGAAATATAGGCTGCTTCATCTCTGCGGTTACAAAGCTGTGAGTACACCTGCCAGAGAACAAATGTATTGCACTGCTCCATCAAGATAATTTAGGGTGGGCTTCAGTGCAATGGTGAAATCCAAATTTTTTCTACTACCGGTTCTGTGGGCGTGGTTTGGTGGGCGTGGCTTGGTGGGCATGGCAGGGGAAGGATACTGCAAAATCTCCATTCCCTCCCCACTCCAGGGGAAGGATACTGCAAAATCTCCACTCTCACCTCATTCCAGGGGAAGGATACTGCAAAATCCCCATTCCCTCCCCACTCCAGGGGAAGAATATTGCAAAATCCCCATTCCCATCCCGCTCCAGGGGAAGGATACTGCAAAATCCCCATTCCCACCCCACTCCTGGAGGAAAGATATTGCAAAATCCCCTTTGCCACCCTACTCCTGGGGGAAGGATATTGCAAAATCTCCATTCCCACCCCACTCCAGGAGAAGGATACTGCAAAATCCCAATTTCCATCCCACTCCAGGGGAAGGATACTGCAAAATCCCCATTCCCACCCCACTCCTGGGGGGAAGAATTTTGCAAAATCTCCATTCCCACCCCATTCTGGGGCCAGCTAGAGGTGGTATTTGCTGGTTCTCCAAACTACTCAAAATTTCTACTACCGGTTCTCCGAACTGCTCAAAATTTCTGCTACCAGTTCTCCAGAACCTGTCAGAACCTGCTGGATTTCACCCCTGCTTCAGTGGTGGTATTCAGCAGGTTCTGACCAGTTCTGGAGAACCAGTAATGGAAATTTTGAGTAGTTCAGAGAACCAGTAAATGCCACCTCTTACTGGCCCCACCCCCATCTATTCTCTGTCTCCCGAGTCTCAGGAAGGATTGGGAGGAAATGGGAATTTTGCAGTATCCTTCCCCTAGAGTGGAGAGGGAATGAAGATTTTATAGTATCCTTCCCCTGGCATGTCCACCAAGCCATGCCCACCTAGCCACGCCCACAGAACCGGTAGTAAAAAAATTTGAATCCCACCACTGGTGGGCTTGTATTAGTCATATAGAAAAGGAAACGGAGATACATACAGTTTCTGATACAAGACAGAAAAACTAAGTATTTGCTGGTATTTTTGCTTCTGGAGTCATAAAAGATGGTACGTTGAACATAGAATAATAGTGTTGGAAGGGAACTTGGAGGTTTTCTAGCTCAACCCACTGCCCATGGCAGGAAATCCTATACCAGAGGTCTTCAAACTTGGCGGCTTTAAGACTTGTGGACTTCAACTCCCAGAATTCTCCAATTCTGAGAGTTGAAGTCCACAAGTCTTAAAGCCGTCAAGTTTGAGGACCCTTATCCTATACCATTCCGGACAAATGGCTCTCCCAATGTCTTCTTGAAAACCTTGAAAAATTTCCGTTAAATTAGAAGTATAAAATATGTACATAACAAATGTACGGAGCGGAATAAAAATGTATTGATACAAAAAGAATGTAGAAATGTATAACATTAAAGATATCATGAAAATATGTATATAATAATTGTAGAGAAATGTATAAAGTTACGATTGTTAAAACTAAAAAACATTTTTTTAGGGGGGAAAAAAGGACAATGGGAGGAAAAAAGAAAAAAAAGAAAGAAATGAAGATATAGGGGAGGAAAAATAAAATAACAGAAAGAATATCTCGAAGAAACAATGTTTAAAAGAAATAAGATATGTATATGTTGTATGTTAGGTGAATGTCATATATACGTTATAATCAAATTTTCAAAATTTCCGCTACCGGTTCTCCAAAACTGGTCAGAACCAGTGGTGGGTTCCTCCCGGTTCGGCCCGGTTCGGCCGAGCCGGTAACAGTGACGATATGATGTCACCGAACCGGTTCTGCCCCCCTGCCCCCCTCCTCCCACCCCCCGGGTTATTCTGACCTTTTATTTGGCCCCACCCCCAATCTATTGCTGCCTCCTGAGTCCCAGCTGATGGCTAGAGGGAAAAAAAACTGTTTAAACTCTTGCCCTGGGGCTTCAAATGGCCGCCCTACAGCTGATCAGTGTTAAAAGAAAACAAATGAGTAGACCGGTGCCTACAAAAATAAATGGGTAGATCCAGTGGTGGGATTCTACTTTCGTAGAACTGGTTGATAAGTAGTTAAGTAGTTAAGCAGTTCGGAGAATGGGTTGTTGAAAGAAATCTCCTTTTGTTTTTTTCCACTTTACAGGGTTAATCCTGTAAGGATTAATTACAACATTTGGTGTTGATTCCTAGCCTAATCTTTATTACAGAAACTGCCTCTCCGGCAGTATGCCTAGACTTACTGTCACTTCCGGTTCCGGAGGCTATTTTTTTGCTTGACTTTCTTAAAAGGGAAGGGTTGTTTTAAGCTTTTTACACTGCTGTTGGAAAGAAATACTGCCCTCTTGGAGTTCTTCCAGCCAGGGTGCAATTATCAGCACTTTGAAGAAATTATTTATTTATTTATTTATTTATTTATTTACTTACTTACTTACTTATTTATTTATTTATCAAATTTCTATACCGCCCTACTCCCAGAGGACTCAGGGTGGTGAACAGCCAAGATAAAATACAGATAATACAAACATTAAAAGTCCATTAAAATTATTAAATATTTTGGCCGAAAACAAATTTAAAACACCCAATTTGTAAAACAGATTAAACGATTTAAAAATTTACAAGGGAGAGTTAGGCCAGGCCAGCCTGCTGAAATACAAATGTTTTGAGAGCACGATGAAACGTGCGCAGATCCGGGATCCTCCGTATCTCCGGGGGGAGCTCGTTCCAGATGGTAGGTGCCCCCACAGAGAAGGCTCTCCCCCTGGGGGCCGCCAGTCGACACTGTTTGGCCAACAGCACCCGGAGGAGCCCCTCTCTATGGGAGCGTACTGGTCGGTGAGAGGCTATTGGTAGCAGAAGGCTACCTTCTACTAGTACTTCTACTAATTGAATCCTTTTGTGCATATGGACTACTCAGAGGGCTGAAAAAGTTATTTTTGACTGGTCCTCGCACTTTTGACCAGTCCTCAAACTTACGACTGTCCTCACATTTTATGTTTTTCGCCCTATCTTGTCACCATGGTGAAGAGAAGCAGTTGTGAAATGAGTGACACAGTTGTTAAGAATGCTACAATGGGCATAAATGATGACCAGTCATAAGTGCGAAGACCGGTCAAAAGTGCGAGGACCTGTCAGAAATCACTTTTTTCAGCCCTCTGGGTAGTCCTTTTGTGCATATGGACTACTCAGAGGGCTGAAAAAGTTATTTTTGACTGGTCCTCACACTTTTGACCAGTCCTCGAATTTACAACTGTCCTCACATTTTATGTTTTTTGCCCTATCTTGTCACCATGGTGAAGAGAAGCAGTTGTGAAATGAGTGACATGGTTGTTAAGAATGCTGAACGGGCATGAATGTGAGGATGGTCATAAGTGTGAGGACCAGTCAAAAGTGCGAGGCCCAGTCAGAAATGACTTTTTTCAGCCCTCTGAGTAGTCCCTATACACATAGCCATGGCCACCAGGTCACATGACCAGCTAGCTACGCCTACCCAGTCACATGACCTCCAAGCCAGGCCCACAAAATAAGCCACGCCCACAGAACCGGTAGTAAAAAAATTTAGAACCCACCCCTGGTCAGAACCTGCTGAAACCCACTTCTGGCCTTGTCCTAAAATAGAATTAATCTGACTTAATTATATTTCCTGTCTAGTTTACCTGGGAGGCCTGTCACAGTGTCATAGAACATTCTCGAACCTTCTAGAACATTCTCCCATCCGAGATAACATTCGAACATTCTCGAACCTTCTAGAACATTCTCCCATCCGAGATAAGAATGGCCCTTGTTGGATTTTCCGAAGGCCTTGAAGAACTGATATGCCTGGGCCTGTTTTTAATTGGTTTTAGGGTTGTTTGACATCCTTAGTGGCAGTCCACATTGGAAGATCTAGGCCTCTTGGGTAAAAAAGGGGAAGTCTGATTTTTTTGGCTTTCTCAAAAAAAAGCAGCATCCCTCAACTTTGGAACTTGTCTAAAAGAGGATCCCAAGATCTGGGGCACAACTTCATTAAACTGTATAATATTTTCCTTGGGTACAATCTGTACCACATTTTTTTTGTTTCTTGCCTGCATTTCTGTATGAGAAATGATGTCTGAATTTCAAAACCAAGAGAGACAATTTTTAGGGTTAGGGTTAGGGGAGTACCCTAACCTTAACCCTAAACCTAACCCTAACCCTAACTCTTCCTTTCCCTCCCTCCCTCCCTCCTTCTCTCTGTCTCCCTCCCTCCCTCTCTCTCCCCCCCTCTCTCCCTCCCTCTATTTCTCTCTCCCTCTCTCTCTCTCTCCCCACCTCTCTCCCTCCCTCCCGCTATTTCTCTCTCCCTCTCTCTCTCTCTCCCTCCCTCTCTCTTTCCCAATCTCTCTCCCTCCCTCCCTCCCCCCGCCTCTCTCTCCCTGTCACTAAACACAACTTTGTCTCACAATGCTTTGGCATGAAGAAATAGGTGTCTTAAGCAGAAATAACACAGGGAGATGCCATGCCTTCTGTGCCAAAAGATGAGAAATAGGCAGCTTTGGGAAGTAGTTAGTAGGTTCCCTTGGGCTGGCATTGGTGTGCCTAGAAAAGGTGGGGAACATGAGCTTTGATAGGATCCCAAGGGAGGCCTGTCATCTCCTTAGGGATGCTAATGGCTTTGTGATGTCATCCCTACCAGTCAACTGTCAGTTCCTGTCAGTTGTTGGTTACCAGATTGAAGATGGCTCCTAAGATGTAAGTAGGTCTTTTTAAAGGCTGCTGGGCTCTGGGTAACCTTCCCCATTTTGTAGAAATGAGAATTCGGATATTCCATGGAGGAGCCATTTGTTGTCCTTTTAGAAAAGGAGAATGGGGGAGGGGCAAATGTGTTCCAGAGAAATTTTTAACTTTAATTCCTTATTGGTGTTAAAGGACTTAGTTGTGTACTTTCCAATCGGTTGGGATAACTTAGCAGACTTAACCTGTCAATTAGGAAAACCTTTTTAAAAATTTGATGAAGTCAGGTGGTTGAGGACCACATCCAGCCATGTAAAACCAAATCAAGGTTAAAAGTGATGGGCTCAAGCCAGGAGTCTCATTTTCCCATTCTAATTTCCTCAATCAAAGGGATTATGGAAACTAGGCTTTAGTTGCTCCCTTTCTTTACATTCCTTTCTCTCTCTTCTAGGGCATTCTTCAAGATATTTTCGTGTTTTGGCGGCAAACAAAAGGAAAAGGAGGAATCTCCCGTTGGTACACCGGAGGAGACCACCAAGAGGAGAGTGAGATACGTGGTGGATGTGGAGCTCCGCAAAGTGGAGCGATGTGGTGAGTGGGCACTTTGGATTGGGCTGCGACCCTGAGAGGGAAAGGGAAGGATTTCCTTGAGGAGCGGACACCTAGATGCAGGGATAGAGCTGAGGTGGCGCAGTGGTTAGAGTGCAGTACTGCAGGCTAGTTCAGCTGACTGCTAGCTGCAGTTCCGCCGTTCAAATCTCACCAGCCTCAAGGTTGACTCAGCCTTCCATCCTTCCGAGGTGGGTAAAATGAGGACCCAGATTGTTGGGGGCAATAGGCTGACTCTGTAAACCGTTTAGAGAGGGTTATAAAACACTGTGAAGTGATATATAAGTCTAAGTGCTATTGCTGTGTTGAGGACACACATCTGCATCTTTGAAGATGCACAGAGGAACAGGTAAGAGACCAAGGGGGGAGGGAGACTCTATAGAGCAAGATTTGCCTGAGTGAGAAGATCGCTCATGGCCAGGAGAATCCACCAGCTCTGGGAAGCAGGAAAAGATTTTAATAGGTGGAATTGGGCCTCGAGGGGAAGAGGGCTGCAAAGAAGGGCCTGATTTTGGAGGGTTTCCTTCATCTGGGGGAGGCCTAAACCTCTACTGAGCACCTGCTTCTCCTTTCCCAGATTTCTCCACGAGGGATGAGATACTCTTCACAAAAAGGAACAAGGTATGTAGAAAACTGAAGATGGTGAACCCCATCCTCATGAAACCTCTCTCTTGGCAGAAAAGGGCAGGGAGGCAGGGTTTCTTGTTCCTTTTGATCCACTTGGTGCTGGAATCCCTGGATAGGATGTCTGGCTCCTAAGACTTGGGTCGATGGGCCAAGGGAGGATGGGGAGTGACCCTGCAAGACATTTGGCAACAGGACAATGGAATTCTTTCTGTCTCTTCCAGGACGCTGAAGTCCAGAAATCTCCTTTTAAATTGGGGCCGCCTGAAAATCAGGATTTTGTTAATGAAGGTAACCTTATTTCTGATAAAGTAATAAATGAAAGTAGTTATGACCGATCATCACAAGTGAAATTCAAACTGCCAGAGCACTCTGAAGGCCTATGGTCGCCTCGGCTTCCTATTTGCCACCTCCTTTCCTTCATTTCTCTCATCTTTTTTCCCCACGCAGGCGACCTAACTTTGGAGGAGCTGTGACTTCCTGTTGGATGCATCCTCCGTGATCAAAGCAAAGATTCTAGCTCAACCTTGGGAAGCGCAGAAAATATCTTTTCCCCAGACAACATTTGGATGTTTTTCCTTTGCAAGTGTTGCTTTTACTGAGAATGCAACACTCTTTTCTATGGCGATGCTCACCTATTATTGGATGCTTTAATTCCCGTGATGTAACTGGACGGACGACTATGTCTAAACCCATCAACTTTTGCTTTGAAGTTCTTTGTTGTGTTTCTCTAAAAGTTAATGTAAATAATTTTAGCCAAGTTCTCCTTTTTCATAGAGAAATCCCCTCCCCCCCTTTATCAATGTACTCTAATAAAATGGTTTTCAATCATTTGCTGTATTGTTTGTTTATTGGAAAAGGTTGTAGAACGGGGCAGAACCTAGAGCCAGATATGGCCAACAGCTTGAGGTGGGGAAAAATGGGGGAAAAAATGATGCACCATCCAACCCTCCACCCTCAGGAGTCTTCCACGTACAACGCTTTGTTTAGTGACCACTTGAACTTATGACAGCACCAAGAAGAGTGGCTTATGACCGCTTTTCAGACTTACGACCATTGCACCATCTCCTTGGTCACGGGATCAAAATGCAGACAACTGGCTCATATTTTTGACAGTTGCACTGTCCCAGAGTTATGTGATCCGCTTTTGCAACCTTCCCAGCTGGCTTCTTAGAAGCAAAATCAGTGGAGGAAGCCAGATTTGCTTAACAACCACACTATTCGCTTAACAACTTCTGACTTATTAAAGAACTACAGCAAATGGGTCGTGAACTGGAGCATATCTCATTTAACCCCTGTCTTGTTTAGCAGCATGGAGCTCTATTGTTGTAAATCGATGAATGTGTTTAAAGCAATTTTTTAATATAGAACAGTGTGTATCTCGGAATCTGGAAGAAGCCAGCTGTGGGTCGTAAGCACAACATGAATTCTTTGTAGAGAGTTCTCAACTTATGACTGGTCACTTAGCGACCATTCAAAGGTACGACAGAGCCCCTACCAGAGAAAATTAGTAAAGAAAAAGTATATTTGATTATACATATAATAACTGCAGCAAGAATAGTATTTGCACAAATATGGAAAGCAGAGAAAATCCCTTTAGAAGGGGAAGTAATTAGAAAAATTTTGGACTGTGCAGAAATGAATAGATTAACTTTAATGATTAAAAAGAAAGACGATACGGAATATTTTAAGATATGGGGGAAATTTTATGATTGGATAGAAAAGAGATATGGATAAAGAATTTGATAAGCAAACAGGAGAAAGTTACATTAAATATATGTATTTTGGGGGAAATATTGAAATAGAGAGATGGGATTTATTAAGGAAGAAATAAGAAGAGGAGGAGTAATAAAAAGCAGAAGTCACCGAAGAAACACCGAGAGGACACAGGGAAGGACTGATGTATTATATGTTTGTTCGTCTTAAAAAAAAAAAAAAAATCTTTTTATTTAAAAAAAAAGGTATGACAGAGCCCAGAGGTACCTATGACCCAGATTCAAAGTTCTGATGGTTCCCCCCTCATGGTCACATGATGCACATTGGGCCCTGCACAACCAGCCCACATTTACGGCCGTTTGCAGCTTCCCATGGTCCCATTACAGAGATTAATTTTTGCTGGAGGCAAACATTCACTTCCAGTTTCCTGCAAAAGAACACCACATAGCGAAGAAGGGATTTGCTTAAGGACCATGGCATTTGCTTTATGACCGCCACATTCACTTAATGACCACCACAACAAAAGTTGTAAAATTGGTCAAGGTCCATGATGACCCGCTTAATGACCGTCAGTATATACTTCTGTAATTGCAAGCTCAATAATGGTTGAAAGTGGAGATCTACCTGCAATGGTTCCTTGATTCCACTTCTATCCTGACTTTCTATCCAGAATTTCAGGCTGGGGTTTGTGACATTCCCTCCTCTCAGTTTCCCCCAATAGAGCAATTCTGAAAAGTAGATTGGAGTCGACAAATGAATTGGCCCAAAGTCACTTTGGATCATGCCAGACAAATTGCATTCTTTGACCCAGTGACTAAGTTAGCCAACCAACCAAATGCTGCAGGCATCATATACTTGGACTTCAGAAAGGCATTTGACAGAGTAGACCACAACCTGCTTCTTGGCAGAACAGACAGTAACCACTGCCAGATGGATTCGCAATTGGCTGACCTACCATACCCAGCATGAAGTCCTCAATGGAACTACTATAGCAGAAAAATGCTATAGCTATATAGCTACTGGGTCTCTTCAGGGCTATACACTAACTATAGTAGCTATCTACATGTGTCTGAAGGGCTGTGATTTTGAAGATGGGGCAAAATTATTCAAAAGTATTCCAGAAGACGGGATGGACAAGAGGGGATTTAAATCACAAGAAGGTGGATTATAATTAAGACATCAAACAGAATTTCTAATGATGAAATATGTTCAACGGAAAAAAGAACATATGACAGTGGTGGTCTCATTCTCACTGGAAGTATTTAATTAGTTTGGAAAGCTGTCCATCAGTTATGCCGGAGTAGTAGACTCCTACCTGTGAAACAAGATTGGACTAGATGATCTACAGTGTCTCTAAAGGTAAAGGCTCCCCTCGCACATATGTGCTAGTCGTTCCTAACTCTAAGGGGTGGTGCTCATCTCCATTTTAAAGTCGAAGAGCCAATACTGTCCGAAAACTTCTCCATGGTCATGTGGCCGACATAACTCAACGCCAAAGGCACACGGAAAGTTGTTACCTTCCCACCAAAGGCAGCCCCCATTTTTCTACTTGCATTTTTTACATGCTTTCGAACTGCTAGGTTGGCAGAAGCTGGGACAAGTAACGGGAGCTCACTCCATTATGCAGTACTAGGGATTCGAACCGCTGAACTGCCAACCTTTCGATCAACAAGCTCAGCATCTTAGCCACTGAGTCACCACATCCCTTCTCTATCCAATGTCTCTATCAACCGTTATATTCTATAATTCCCTGAAACTTATATTGGTTTTTATTTTATTTTTGTTAATTCTCAAATAATCTTAGGAATTGAAGCTTAGGAATGGTGCTAAAATCTATCTTTGGAGACATGCCAATGAAAATTCTCAGTCACCCAGACAGAGTTGTCTGGAAGTTGAATCATAGCAACGGGACTTCTTTTCTGTTTGGTTTGAAACATTTTGCCGTCTACTGAAGAAGCTATGAAATGTTTCAAACCAAAAAGAATAGGAGTCCCGTCGCCATGACTCAACTTTCAGACTATCTTTGGAGACATTGCTTCCATATTTTTAGGTCTCATAATTCACTGCTATAAGAGAATAACATGAATTTAAGTCAGTGGTGAAACCCAATTTTTTTTACTACTGGTTCTGTGGGTGTGGTTTGGTGGGCGTGGTGTGGTGTGGTTTGGTGGGCATGGCTTGGTGGGCGTGGCAGGGGAAGGATACTGCAAAATCTCCATTCCCACCCCATTCCTGGGGGAAGGATATTGCAAAATCTCCATTTCCATCCCACTCCTGGGAGAAGGATATTGCAAAATCCCCATTCCCTCCCCACTCCCGGGGAAAGGATATTGCAAAATCTCCATTCCCATCCCACTCCTGAGGCCAGCCAGAGGTGGTATTTGCCAGTTCTCTGAACTACTCAAACTTTCCGGTACCGGTTCTCCGAACTGCTCAAAATTTCCACTACTGGTTCTCCAGAACCTGTCAGATCCTGCTGGATTTCACCCCTGATTTAAGTCCTTGTGGTATATATATCTAGTATTAAATAATGTCAACATGTGGCATGTGGGGGACTGCCATTTGCCAGATATGGTGTAGGGTGTCCTGCTTGGGCAGGGGTTGGACTAAACGACCTACAAGGTCCCTTCCAACTCTGTTAATTTTTTTTAAAAGAGAGGGTCAGAGAACAATTCTTACTCCACGTCCCAGATAATCATCCAAGATTTACGATTCCTACTCAATTTAAGCAGTGACATCCAATAGGTTTCAGACTATAGAGTCTGTGCTTTCCTTTATCGTAAACCGTAGCTGCCTACTCAGAGTTGGGAATTGCAGTTGATTCATATTTTTGCTTACACTGGGGAGTAATATCACACACACACCCGCCTGACTACTTATCAGCATATTAAGGAGAGAAAAAGAATCTCTGGAAAAGTAATCTAACTTTCTCCTGGGTTCTGACTGAGTGGCTGCAAATGGTAGTAAGTTCTCAACCTCAGAAGTTGAGGGACTGTAAATATCCTGCCTCTCCCATAGAGTTGAAGAAAGAATAAATCCAATCATTGTGATGACTCACGAGTCATAAATGTCTAAACTCAATAATTTGTTGTATCCTATTCTCCCATGCGGTTTATTTCAAAGTAGCAGTTCCATCTTGTTACTATAGGAATACTTAAAGGAACATATTTAATCGACTTGTGAAGGATGGTTTAGAGATCCTGTGTCTTATCAGCTACTTGCAGAAATATCCCTGAAAGAAAAGCAAGACCCAGAAATTCAAAAATCCCAAGAATTTAGAACAGGGGTCTGCAACCTTAAACACTCAAAGAGCCATTTGGATCTGTTTCCCACAGAAAAGAAAACACCGGGAGCCACAAAACCCTTTTGGTGCCTGACTATTTCTTGAGTGGCCACAAAACTAGCATATGTAGTTGAATTAAACGTTCTGTTTTCTTCTGAAACTTTTCTTTTCTTGGATTTATCCATGGTTGGCCTACCGGGGGTTGAAAAGCTCAATAATCCGTGTGCCGGTGGGTGTCACACATTGGCAGTTGTGACACATATTTTGAGTGACAGGGAGCCGCAGAGGGGTGAAAGAGCCACATGCGTCTCCAGAGCCGCAGGTTGCTGACTTCTGATTTAGAAGAATGCTACTAAAAAGCTGAATGTGCTATGTATATAATCACTACAGTTGCCACCACTAAATCTGATAATTTATCAAACTACATGATTTGTACCATATGCCTGACTGATATCATTATGGCTTAGATCAGATGTTTACAAGGAGCAATATTTTTCACCAGGAATAATGTCTTCGCATTTGCTTGCTCAAATTCTCCCCATGCAGAGGAGAAGATTTCTCCCTGGGGTAGATGTTAAGATACACAAGGTCAAACAGCACCGTTGCTGGAATAGACAATCATTTTTCTGTGGCACTAATTCAGAACCACAGTATTTTAACAATTCCTTCTCAGGAATTAAACAGCACTCTTTGGGAAGTCAAAGTATTTATTGTTATCATATCTTTTGTGGCTTTTTTTTTTTAATTAAATTTTATTTTAGTACAAATAATCCATCTTCCATTAAACAGTGTGTCGT